TTAGCCTGTCATTCTTGGACACACCTCTGGGAATGCACAGTGAGAAATGTAGGCACATGTTTTAAGTTTTTTGTACTTGTTGCTAATGCATTGGTAGACTAGTTAAAGCCATTCCTCAGCCTTGTTCCTATCAATGTGACCATCTGTACAGTATTTTATATGTGAACTTTTCTAGGGATCTGTTACTACTTCTTTGTATAATGTAAAATGTTTCATCAGTTAGTCCCACGACACCAGCAGATGAGCTCTGTTGGATTTATCAGCGGAGCTCTATGGCATTACTGCCCTCCCTGTATGCCCATCCATGTGCAAAAGGTTGCCATTCCATATAGCAGTGGCAGAAGGGGAAAGTGTACAAGCTCTGTGGCCGCTGCAGTTCATGGTCCCCGCTGTCTTAAGATGTTGCCCATCTGCTTTGTTTTAATCTGCTTTGTTATGAACTGTGGACATTGAAGATTTGGCATCTGCTATGAAGTGTCTACATCCAGCAGAAAAGGAACGGTTCCGGTAGCATTCGAAGCTGCTGCTACTACTGATCCCAGTGTCTTGTTTTGCCTTCATTGTCAGTTAAAATCTTCTCTTCTGCATGCTGTTGGGCCAGTTGAGCTCCACAACATAGTCTTGAATCCCTGCAGATTTATAAGTTAGAGTTTGGCCCATAATGAAAAAGTATGCAAGTGTAGACAAATTATGCCTTTGAAATAGTTTCCTTGAGCAGGAAAGTTCAGCACTGTTGCTTTTTTATTTTATGTTTAAAAAAAATGGAAGATCATCGGAGGTTTATGTGCCTACATTTTGCCAGCCTGAGCTACTTTTGTCTAGGTTGTGCATCACAGAGGGGTTAAACAGGCTTTAAAAGTTGGGGTTTTTTATGAGCATGAGAGCAGATTGCAAAACTTGGTCTATAATGCAATATAAATACTACTTATGACTCATCTTAGAGTTAAATTTACCAAAAGTCATGAATGCATGAAATGTAACTAAGATATGTATAGAGGAAGGAAAAGGCCATCAGAATATTCTTTATTTTTAATGTTCATCTTGTCAAAGTGATCGTTTCAACTTTGGCTAACAGAAAAGTAGATGCATCCCTTAATGTGCTTCATATAGTATATAGAACGTCTTTCTGTGGCTTTGAAGCTGTTTCCCTGATGAAATAAGTTCCAGCATTTTGGCTTTGGCAGTTTGATTATAAATCATCCTGAAAATGCTTTATAAATATTACCCTTAGAGTTTGGTTAAGGTTCTATACCAAGACCCAAGAATACAATGCCTATATCTGAATTGTGGGGTGACGTGCACTCGGTTGTCTGCCCTGTAGTACACTCAAGAGTTGGGAAATATCTTACGCAGCTGGGCTTCTGGGAATATTTACTCAGGAAACATTACTGTGAAATATGACTGTTATGTTGGGATTGTCAGTTGCCTGGTCCTGTTTCTAGAAGAATGTGCAAGGTAACCAGAATGGTACTAGCAATACATCAGTCCAACTTCTGGTGTGCAGTTGCTTCATGAACAAAATATGATGTTCCTATTGAGTTCATGAGTATGAAGGTGCAAAATAAGTTTGAGATAGGCGTCCAAATAAGTCTATAATTATAATTGGCCAAAAGAATCTGGCTTAATTATATGATTCGTCTACTTCAGAGGTGAAGATGGCTGGTCATATTAGCATGCCTTTGGTACTCTCTTTAGGTAACTGTAATTCAATTTTCCTATACCGAATACATTTTCACAGTACTTTTTTTCTACATGCAGTTCCACTGGTTTTTGTGTACGACTAACTCCCTAGCCCCAAATACTGACATTTTCATCCTTTGCTTTGTTATATGCATTAGTGGGAATCAATTTATATATTTTGAGTGTAGATGCACGTTTCTTCTGAAAGCTGCTTTGACTTTTGAGGTTTAATATTGCCCTGCTCTTAGAGTGGCATCAATTCTGATGGCTCCCTTTTCAGAAACAGAATATTCTATTTTCTGTTGAGCGTGACAGAAAATCCCTGACAAGCTAATGGTTTTGAGGTGTTAATATTAAATTGATATGTGTCTACTTGAAATTGTGTTCACCTACAGTAACTTAAATATATTGCAGATTTTTTCAATGTATTTTTTCATTGTACAGAACAAAAAGACCCAATTCCTCAAACTCACTTGTATCATTAAAAAATACAGACTGCTATAAACAGCTTTATTCATGTGAGTTCAAAGGAACGACGTTTTGCACTCCGGTGTTCTTGTTCTGCATCCAAGTAGTATCTGGTGACCAAAGAAAAAGGATTAGAAATGTTGAAAAGATCAGTTACAACTTTGGGACTCAAAGTAATGGTGCCAAAAGACATGCTGATGTAGTGCAGATTCTCATCCGCTCTGCTAGGTGGTCAAGAGTGAAGAGCGAGTTTGGTTCTGTACTATCATTCTAAAGGAGCTTTTGGCTGCCTGGATTAGTCACAATTTTACCCTGTACATATGGTAGAGCAAAATGGAGCCTTTAAAGGCTATGCATCAGTGATGCACTTCAGCTTTTAGCCAACAAAGCAAGTCAGAGTGGAACAGATATTCTTGCAAGAATTTCTTGCTACTAGGCTTCTAGTAGTAGGAAGAAAGAATAAAGTTTTCTGACAAATAGGCATCTCATCATATATAGGATTGGTATCTCTACTAGATAGTAGCTCCTCCCTTGCCAAATCAGGGTATGGGCATTTCTTTCAGTGGAATATTTAAATTCTTTTCTGGAGACCGCATGCTGCAGTTCTGGTAATACCATTTCCAAGGCTGTCTTTAGCTGTTGCTTCTATCCGTGCCAGTCAAGCAACAGCTGTAGATCCCACATGCCAACTTTTCTGTTTGTAACTTGCTAGCATTTATCGGTTAATGTCTTATGCTGCTGGTGACACTTGAAAAGGCTTTTCTAAAATCAAGTTTTATATTAAAAATAAATACATAACTTGTTTTCTGTGTCAGAATATGAGAAAACTATTCTGTAGAGAGAAATTATTGCTGCAGTTGTATCTGCAAAGATAAATGCTACATGAAAACAGGTGATGCCCCTAAGCACACAATGACAGGGAATTCTTCCTTGGCCCTATCATGAGCATTAAATCTTGGATTTTAAAAAGTCTATATAACTCTAAAATTATTAGTTATACTTCATATTCATATTCAGTATTTACAGAATATATTATCTGAGTCTTCATGCTCTAGCTGTAGTTGGAATTTATGCACTGGAAACCTGTATTACCTCTTAGCAACTGGAATTCTTTGTGGTTTTAGATCATTAAAAAAAGGAATTTGACTACACTAAAAATTCTGAAGATCTAAAAATTTTAATTCCAGAGATAAAACATACATGATGTATAACATATGTGGAGAAGACAAATGTTACAATGAAATTTGTCTTTGTGGTCAAACTAATGCTTTTCTATATTTCTCTATATTATTTCAACATATGAATTTATAGGAATCACTAAATTTATTTTTAAAGTTTTTTTTTTTTTTCTGTTGGCTCAGTATTGCAGCACTAACAGAGTGCTAAAATGCTAGTGCTAAAATTAGGTCTCTACAAAAAGTAGCAAGGATTTGCGGCATGCTGCTCTTGGAAAGGCCAGGGAAACATTCAGAGGTTTTGACTTCTGGAGGTTGATTACCTTGATTCTAAGTGGGCCATGCCTGAAGCACCTTTGAAGTAAGCCCCCTCTACGGAGAGAGGAATGAGTGGGAAAATTGGAAAGGATATAACTTCTTTCTGATGCTTGTTTCCAAACTGATACGTATTTGCACTTTGATGTAATCGATTCTTTTTGAAGTACACAAATGTTTGCAAGAATCATGTCTCGGTTCTTCACAAGATGCTTCTTCAGCTGTCCGCTTTCACAAAAAACCCACATACGTGCACGTAGAGTTTTAAGTGAAAGGTGTTAGGTAGATATGGAACACTCAAGACCAAATTTTGTCATGTATTTAAGGTGAAAGACAGTTAATATAACTTCAGGTCAATTCCCTGGCATGGTTGCAATACATGATGTTGAGATTCTTCTTGCAGAAGACTATCCCGGTTCCAGGTCCTACCTGGTTTTGATAAGGTGGTTAATGGAGGTAGCCAAGGCTTGTTTCTGCAGATTAATTCATGTGGCTTAGGTCAGTACTTTGATGTGTCACAAATTAAGGGAAGTGATCAGGCTAAATAGTATGCAGCTGTATGCACATTATTCTGGATATGTTACCTAGAATAAGTTAATTAACAGTAATTTTCAGATTATTACCAAATGCCACATATTACAGAAATTAAAAAAAAAAAAACAAAACAAACAGGGGGATCACTTAAATTCTTTTTAACAGGAAAAATCTTTCTAGTACTGTCAGAAAATAGAAGAAATCTGGTATCTTACAAACCTGAAAGCAAAACTGATTTGATGAATAGGGACATTATTTACCAATGTAGAGCTAGAGGTGATGCACAAAATATAATCCAGGATGTAGGAATGTTTAGTTGTCTGCTCTGGTTTTATGCAGTGATTTGTACCAAAGAGGATGGAATGAATGGGCACCAGTCTAAACTCTTCTCATTAGTTAAGAAGTGAAACAGGTTAACAATATTATTGATCTAATACTCTGCAAATTGAAAGGCAGTACACTACATCCATTGTTTAGTACTGCATATTAGGAAAACCTGAAGATAAATTAGCCTGCTGAAGTGCCTTTCTCTTTCATCAGACTTATTTTATCAGTGGGACACCTGACTATCTGAAAAGCACATTATGGGTTTTTTTCTGTTAGCCAAAAAAACCCTGAATTCATACTTACAGTTACGTAGCTTTTATAATATTTTAAAAGGCAGATCTAGTGT